TGACCACCCCCCCCCCCCACCCATCCCTCCCCGTGCCCCCAGCAAAGTTTATCTGTGTAGTCCTGGTCATTCTGAACTCAACCTGTAGACCAGGCTGGCTTCGAACTCACAGAGATTCACTTGCCTCTGCCTCCTGGGTGCTGAGATTAAGGACTTGTACCACCACTCCTGGCATATTTTTAATTTTAAAAACTAAGACTTTGGGTCAGTAAGATGGCTCAGCTGATAAGGGCTCTGCCACCAAGTCTGACAGCCATAGTTTTTCTATCCCCAGGATACACGAGGTATAAGGAGAGAACTCATTTCTGAAGTTTGCTGTCTTACCTCCTCATGTGTGTTGTGGCATGTGTGCACACACAAAGAAAATAAGTGTGATATAAATATATGTATTATATATGTTTGTTTGATTTTATGTGTGCATGTGTAAATTTAAGTTGGGCATGGCTGCTGACCCTTGTAATCGCAGCACTCAGGAGGTTGATGGGTACCTGGGACTACATAGTTCCAAGTCAGCCTCAAGTGTGCAGTGAGCCCATGAGAATGCTCAGTAGGTTTTCCACCAAGGCTGGTGACTCAGTCTGGTCCCCAGTGCCCAGCATGGTGGGAAAATGTCAGAAACTCCTGAGAACTGACCTCTGGCCTCCGAAAGAGCTCCGTGGAGCACGAGTGGGCGCTTGAGCGTGTGTGCACGCGTGCGAGATGCATACATATCCTGAATATAATATGACTTTATCAAAAATTGGAAGGAAGTCAACCCATCAACTACTGCTTGAAATATCTTGCCTCTGTGTCCACTGCAGCTAAGAGTCCTGGTGAACAAGTGCAGCCTGCCCTTCCTGCATGAGCACACTGAGAGTTCACACCCAGCCTACGTCAGTGCCTCATTCTGTCCTGTGAACTGGAAGCTCCCTGTCTCATGGGACCTCCCTGACCAGTTTTCCTTGAAAATGTCGGCATATCTTGCTTAGGCTTAGGGTACCTGGTTTGTCTATGTGCTGTTGACCATCAGGTCCCAGCATCCAAGGCAGAGACTTAATTCTGATTCAGATTGAACAATTTTTAAACAAAATGGACAGAGGCTCAAGCAGGCAGTGACCCTGGGTGGAGCCAGCAGATGGTGTGGGTTAAGGCTCATTCCATTTTATTGCAGAACCACAGTAGTCTGTTTTCTGGTTTATTTTTTTCTTTCAAGACTAACTAGCCTGGAACCTTCTGGTGTGCTACATAGACCAGGCTGTTCTTGAACTGACAGACCTGCCTGCCTCTGTCTCCTGTGTGCTGGGATTAAGTTCGGCCTCAGTCTTTTTTTTTTTTTTTTTTTTTTTTTTTTTCTTCGAGACAGGGTTTCTCTGTGGCTTTGGAGGCTGTCCTGGATCTAGCTCTTGTAGACCAGGCTGGTCTCGAACTCACAGAGATCTACCTGCCTCTGCCTCCCGAGTGCTGGGATCAAAGGCGTGCGCCACCACCGCCTGGCTGTCTGTTTTCTTAGCTGTTGTTTTTTCCTGTTTTGTGGTCTCCTGGGTTTCAAAACTAAGGCGTCCAGTGTGATGCTAGGCAAACACCTACCGTAAGGCGTGCCCTCATGCCCTCAGAAACTTGACCAAAGCCATTGAAAGTTAAGGCAGGTAGTCTTTCAGAATCTGGTATGCTACTGAATAAAGAATATTGGGGTGAAAGCTGTGCTTGAGTGTGTAGACCCACAGCTGGTGCCTGGACAGTCATGTCACAGGCTTTGGAAAGTTCTGTGTTGTGGCAATTTTCTGTTAGGAGAAAAATCCCACACTCTGCTTCTTGGATTGTCTTCATGGAAGCCAAAACAAAGCAAAACAAAAACCTGGTATCTGAAAAGTAATTTCCACTGAGAGGGTTCTCAGCTCCTTCCTGGGGGCTGGAGTTTGTCCTGCTGTGTCTGGGCGAGGGTAAGACTGCCTGAAGAGCACTTTCCTTCGATGGTTGTCACGTGACTGCACTAGACAGGTTAGAAATGCTGGGGTGCTTTTAAAAACTACCCAGGTCAGGGCCAGCAGCATGGGGACTCTACCACAGCACCAGTGTTTCTCTGTGGGCCAGCAACATGGCTCACAAAGCCTGACAACCAGAGTCTGATTCCTGGAACCCAAGTGGAGGAAGGAGAGAGCTGACTTCCACAAGTTGTCCCCTGGTCTCCACATGCTTGCCCTGGCACACACATGCAGTCACATGCCGTAAATGAATGTGTTAGTTACGGCAGCACACACGCCTGTAATTCTGTC